GGAAGGAAATTTACAAAATATTTTCATGGAACATGATCTTTACTTAATATCCTAATGATTTTTGGCATAAAAGAAAAATCGATAATTTTGACCCATACAATGTTTTTTTGGCTATTGCTAAAAATATACTCAAGCGAATTAAGACTGGTGTGTGCTCCAGGGTCACACATATATATAAATGCTGAATTTTCAGCAGTCTTCAGTGTCACATAATCTTTCAGAAATCATTCTAAAGTGCTGATTTGGTGATGAAATACATTTTTTTTTTATTATTCTCAATATTTACTGACCCCTAAAAATAATAATAATAATAATAATAATAACTAACATACAGTACGCTAGAAAGGAAAATCGATAATTTAATAGAATAGTTTAATAAAATAGAATAACTTCAATATTGTGGTCAACACAAACCATGTTTATCTTCGTTGCAAATGAAACCTCGTTGAGAACCAATATTGCTTGGGTCCCTCCTTCAAAAATTCTCTGGGATTTTTTCCACCAGTTCTACTGTCTGCCAGGTGAAAATCACAAGCTCAATTAAAGTAACATAACACCTCTCTTCAACAAGTCACACAATTTGAAGTATCATTCAAGTCCGCAGACTTATCCCTGTGGATAATGATTATAAGTATGCAGCAAAATAATGGAAATTCAAACCCAACTAATGAGAAACAACCAAAGTTACAGTCCTTATCGTCCACAGGCTTGTTCCATCACACTGAACCATAATATTCTCTCCAACCACTATTATCAAAGACTTTTAGACCTTTAGCCAACTCCGAGCTCGACTTTCTTCTTCCAGTAATCAGTTCCCTAGACACATCCATTTCAACCGCAAGAGCATGAGCACTGTTAGGTCAGGGAAGAGTACCTGTAGGGGAGCCCTCCTGAACCTCCCCAGAGTAGCGCGGCTCCTTGAAGACCGGTCGGTTGTCATTCTGGTCAATAACAGACACGTCCAGGTCTACAGGTCCCTCTACCAACTTGCCACTCAGGTCAGTGGTGGATACCTGGAGCTGTGTGAGAGAGAGGAAGAGAGTGATTTACACACACACGCACAAAAAGGAAAGATTCAGCTGTTTCTGGCAGTAATTGACAGAGGAAATAAAGTGCTTCTTCAGTTGCTTTCAGTGTCAGGCAACTGAAATCTCACTTGTGATGTGAGATGTTTGGCAAACAGTTTAATCTTAGAATGAAACCTGAAGAAAACTTTAAATGGATGACAGGATATTTAATAAAAGGAGCATTAACATCTTGTGTTGTCAGCTGAAAAAATACACATTTTTCATGTTTAAGAATAATCAGGTATACGGCACAAACTAAAATAATATCCAGAGTAGTGTTGTCAAAATTAGCGCGTTAACACATGCAATTAATTTTTTCAGTTTAACACGTTTAAAATATTTAACGCAATTAACACAGAGGTGGAGCTAGGGTTGGCCACCCCACTCACAACTGCTGCTCCTGTCACTTTTTTTCTTGACAAGAATTGCGTTTATTTACACGCAGAATGTCTTTACAACCACATCAAACGGGAGACTTTTCAAATACGCGTTCCAACTTCAGCACCAGGCACTAGGCACTAGTCAAACGAGCATGGAAAAGATAAAGGTGACGAGGGAGCTTCAGTAGAACAACAGTGCACTGCGGTCAGATGAGATGTTGTCAGGCCATAGATCAGTAAAAATTATTTTTCCTGTCCTGTCAGCCGTTATACTGAGCTCGTAGCACGTGCTCTTCAATTGAACACACAAATGAAGTGGCACACGCTGTATATAATTTCATATTAAAGCGCAAATGAAACAAGCATGCAATGTCATCGTTATGTCGTCAGTTAAGTCATGAAGTTACCAAAAAGGCGATTATAGCTTACTTAAAACTGCGCATGCTTGTATTTAGTTGCATTTAAGAACATGTCTCTGAAATGCAGTGGTTTTTAAAACTGTCCTGAAGCAGCTCAGCACTGTCTTCCTCATCTAACACACCCGATTCAACTCATCAGCTCTTTAGTAGAGACTTAACGAGCTGAAGTGGGTCAGAAAAGGTAAAGAGTTGTGAGAAAAGACCGCGTCATGATCAGTAGTTGCACCTAAAATAACCTAATAACCCAGCTGCTGTGCTGTGAAAAAAGAAGAAATCAACTTTTGTAGCTTTTAGGATTCATCTATTTTTAATTTAGAATTTAATGTTTGATAACTTTATTCACTTTCTGTATATGTCCTACTTGCTGAAGGGAACAGGTAGCTAAATATGACATTTATTATAATGGGTTTATTTGAAGATTGTTTTAAGTTCACTTAAATTAGAATTTTTTTTAAGTCTAATAAATGTTCAAATTGATAGCTCTCAATTATACTGTAATGTTGAATTGCTATAGTCAATGGTTAAATATTAGGGAAAAAACAATTGCATAGAGACATCAGTAGTATTGGTATCAGTGATACCTTCAGTCATAAAATATAAAAAAGAAATATTACAAATATACTGTCTTTATGTTGTTTCTACATTAATTTGAAGATTGGATGTGAAATTATTGCAATATAAAGTCTATTTAAAAACTTTAATGTTAGGTGGGATTAATCGCAATTTCAGAAAAATGTGTGATTAATTAGTTCTTTTTAAAAAAAATAAATTGACAGCACTAATCCAGGGCTGTTTTACATTCCACACTGTTCTCTCTCTCTCTCTTTCCTTCACCATTTACTCGCTGATATGACACAGTGGGGTGTTTCTTCAATTATGGGCTCTTTTGAATTTAAAAAAAATCACACTTTTCAAAATTACTAGTTTATATAATTTGCATACTATCAGTATCACCAGAACCACCACGAACAAATGCCATTTCTACCTCAACTATAATCACTCATTTGGGGTGGAAATTAAATTTGCAACGTTTTAAAATAAAATACACATCTTTGCATTAAGGCTAATTTTTATAGCACTGAATTTAACCTAAATAGAGACAACTGAATAATATTTTCATACATTTGAATTTCATAAAATTGTAATTTGAAAAAATAAATAAATAAATTGGACACAGCAGAAAATGCTTTAATTTCTGTGAAAATGTATATAAATAACACATCTTGAAATGGAATACATAATACATAAAAATGCCTGCAACTGCAGAAACAACCAGACATACAGACCAAACATGACACGTAGATTATGATGAAAAAATAGTATGGATGATGTTGCAAAAATGGCAGACATGGACTGCCAGGGTCTTTAGGATTGCCTCATGGGTAATGGCTACCTATGCTGCCTGTGGTCAGCAATTATTGTAAGACCTGAGTAGAGATGAGTGTTTGTCTGTGATTGTGGTTGATCTGCGGCATGAGAGCCTGTCTGCTCTAATGGCGCTGAGGAGAAGAGATAGAGAGGAAGAACAGATTACTAGTCCTCAGAAATACACAGGCAGTTTATGAAGGCACTACACAATGTGATTCAATTGCACTGCTTCTTGCTTGTCTGATGCAGGGTGTGATGCTAAAACCAGATTATATATCAAATATTCATGAAATATCTGTGACGATAAGCAATGTTTGATTAGGTATGATGCAAATGCACTTTTTATTTCACCATTAGGTAAAAACTGTCATTAGACAGGTTTTCGTAACCACTCCCTGTCCTGCAAGCATGAGCGTGCATGAAAATAAAGCAAAAATATTTCAATGAAATTTGGTGATGCTAGTGACAGAAAAATGACTAAATCAGTTCAAACTGCTCATTTGAATTACTTGAGTCAAAGCTTTAAATCAGAGCTATATATTTTTTTTTTAAATATATTTTAACATGTTGTAAAAAAAAACAAAAAAAAAACAGCAAGAATTCAGCAAGGCCACAGTAAATTTACTTAATGTGACACTGAAGACATTTCTAATGTTACAAAAGATTTTAATTTAAATGAATATAAAAATGAAATGCAGTTCTTTTGAATATTCCTCAAAGAATCCTGAATAAATAAATACAAAATAAATACTTTCATGACCAATATTTATTTTTACAAAAGCACGACTTTTCAAAACTAATTATGAGAAAGAATTAAATAAATTTGCTGAAAAAGACATAATTTCTAGGATAAGTCCAAACCATGTACTCTTGGCTAAATGCAGTATTTCTAACAGGTTTTATGTAAATACAGACAGTGTGCTTGAACTTAAAGGGATAGTTCACCCAAATAAATATGTTGTAATCTTCATCCTCAGACATCCTCATTTAGCTCCAAACCTGTATGATTTACTTTCTTCTCTGGAACACACACAAACAATTTACAGATACTAGTCCATATTGCGACTCTATTTAAGTGTACTGTCTGACCTACTTTTGATTAATTCATCCAAACTTTGACAAATGCCGTGACATTCCGCGTCATACAGTAAATTCCATTTATATGACTGGATTCCGCGATTCCGTCCGTGTTTTCCGCATCGCGGAAATCATAGATAATATTGAGGTGTTTTGCAACTTCAGTGCAACGTTAGTGGATTGGGATCTATTGCAACTTAAGCAACGTCTGCTGCTGCCTTACCTTTGAGAGACAACTGATGCGTGATCACTGAAGCAGCTCCAGTTAGCAAGCGCTTTTGGAGTGAGAGTGAATTCCGCATTGATTGGTCGGACTCATGACTCCCAACAAATCAGATGAGCGGTGGGCGGAGACTGCTTTAGGCCACAGAGTGGTGAGTTCTGACAGGCTGCATCAGAGCCAAATAGCGCATTTCAAAATTAAGTTATTTTATCGGCGAATCGGTTTTAAAAATGACCGATACCGATAATCATAAAAATGCTTAATATCGGCGCCGATAATCGGCCAGGCCGATAATCGGTCGACCCCTAAAACAAACAACAACAAAAATGTTATTTTGAAGAATGTTGTTATTGAAAACAAAATAAAAGTCATACAGTTTGGCAAAGACATGAGGGTGGATACATGAAGACAGAATTTTTAAGTTTTGGGTGAACTGTCTTCTTTAAGTTTTGTTTTTGCACAACTCATTATCCCATTTTCCCAGCTTGTTTTTGCATGACTGGACCAAAAACCCTACCTTGGAGGCAAAGAGCCAAACCACAGAGTCCAATGTGACTAAAGAGGTAAAACCATTGGGGAGAATGGATTCATATAGAGATAAAGAGAAACGGAGAGACGGGAAGCCATACACAGCTTTAAAAACAGGTAGACAACACAGAGTCATGTGGGGAAAATGAGAATGAATATGAAACAACAACAACAACACAGGGACGCGTTTGGGAGTGTGACGGGAGGGGTTCGTGGGAAGAAAAGAAGAGAAAGAAGATTTATCTGCTTTTCACAGTGTGAAGTTTCACAAGGGCCCACCTGAGAGCGTGGTGATGGCTGAGGCGCTAGCATCTGCCTCGCTTCTGTGCCTCAATTTCTCAGTCCCACCGTCTCAGAGCCGGGCCTCCCCAAAGCCCACATCACTTATTCATTCCTCCCTTCTCCTAGTGCTGCCGTAACCGCGTGAGTTCCGCACACCCTCGGGAGGTGCGCGACGCAAAGCAAAGGCAACGAAACGCACAGCACGTCCTGTCTCTCTGCCTCAAACACAAACACGCACGCTTGTACGCCAAACACTATACCCCAGGCCAGACACGTTAGTGCTTACTAGACGCTCCTGAGCAATTGGCCCGTGAAACACTTTAACCTGACGCAAATCACTGTCTGATAAAAGAGCTCAGAACTCTCCTGGGCACCTCTAACACTCCCCTGTATATTGAGATATATTTTATTTGCACACCTGTAAACTGTGCTGAAGCAACGCTTGGAATTTTAGTTTGGTGTGAAGGAGAAAAATAAAGAGTTTGAGCTGACAGTCTTGCACTTTATTGCCTCCTTTGTACTCTTTACAAAGTTTACTCTTTACAAGTAACATTCTAGAACAGCGGTGGCGAACTCCGGTCCTGGAGAGCCGCAGCAAATGCTCTAGACGCCCCTGGTGATGACTAGTCTATTCTTGGGCTATGGTTAGACGTCTATTAAGGGTGCTTTCACACC